AGGGAAATGGATGGCACTAGAGCAGATTATGCTAAGTGAAGCTAGCCAATACCTAAAAAACAAATGCCAAATGTCTTCTTTGATATAAGGAGAGTAACTAAGAACAGAGTAGGGACGAAGAGCATGAGAAGAAGATTAACATTAAACAGAGATGAGAGGTGGGAGGGAAAGGGAGAGAAAAGGGAAATTGCATGGAAATGGAAGGAGACCCTCAGGGTTATACAAAAGAACATACAAGAGGAAGTGAGGGGAAAGGGAAAAATAATACAAGGGGGACAAATGAAGGTCAGTAGAGGGGGTAGAGAGAGAAGAGGGGAGGGGAGGGGAGGGGAGGGGGGATAGTAGAGGATAGGAAAGGTAGCAGAACACGACAGTCACTAGTATGGCAATATGTAAATCAATGGATATGTAATTGATGTGATTCTGCAATCTGTATATGGGCTAAAAATGGGAGTTCATAACCCACTTGAAGCAAAGTGTGAAGGATGATATATCAAGAACTATGTAATGTTTTGAACAACCAACAGTAAAAAAAATAAAAAAAAGAATACAACAGTCTAAATTGAAATATGCTTTTTGCCATGATAATAGTAGAGATATTTGATACCATAAGCAAGTATATTTTGAATATCTACTACTAGAAATTACTGACATATGAGTATACTAAACATAAAATAGCTTCTGGCTGAACAGGAATGGATCAAAAGGACATCTTATATTGCAGGATTTCTCAAGAGGATGTCCTATAATAATTGCACAATTATATGATAATAATAAGTTATTGATAAATACTTACACGAGCACTATGAAATGTTCTATTCTTGATAATATGGCTTAGGAAAGCCTTTTTTCCCTTCATACTTAACTCATGAGATCTTGGTTGACCCCTAGTTTTCTTTTAATTATTTATATATATATTTCTTTACAGTCATTAAATTTGACATATTTTAACTTTTCATGATATACATATGAGGCAATTAAGCTGTTTCAGATCCAGATTTCTTAACATCAGTCTCAGTCAGCATAATCTGATTTGGGATGATATTTTTCTTTGTCTAATGCTTTTATGAAAAGAGCATTGCAGCAAAAGACAGGTGATGAAAATTCTCTTTTTCCAACATCTTCATAACTTGGTTGAACATGATAGATTGGCTAGCTTATTGATTTAGGAATTATCAGCAATATTACTTCCCCTAAAGGAATATAAAGCTGATTCATAACAGATTTGAAACCTGATTCTTAAGTTCCCATATAAATGTGTGCAAACTTATAATTTTGACTCTCTTTTAAATTCCCACCTTAGAAACATTTTCTTCTGCATACACAGAGGTCTGAACATTCTAGGTCCCTATGAATTTAGTGACTGCTGATATACATATGTGTGTGCGCACACGTGTGTGTGTGTATAAAATAAAACAGAATAGTATAGTGTTAGATCTAGATTAAAAGTCACTTCAGTCTTTTACAAGCTATGAATTTACTAATATTGTTGAATCTCTCTGGGGCTGTATTCCCATACTTACGAAACAAGATCATTGACCTCTTAAGGGTTTGGGTTAGAATTAAATATGCTAGTGTATGCAAAAGACATAGAGCAGTTTTTGGAAAACAGTAAGTACTCAAATTAATGTTAGCAGATAGCATCATCTTTAGATAATGTCCAACTTGAATTCTTCTTTACACCATGGACTCAATGGGACTCTTTTTTTACAGAGATATAAATATGTTTTCAGTGAAAGGGCATTTCTGTTCAGATTTCTTAATAAAATTATTCCAAAACTTTGGTCATTAACTTAGTATGATAGTGAGCTTTTGCCCATATTTAATACCATATACTACTTATGTAATTATATTACTTAAACCTGAATAGTTTTATTTTAAAGGAAACTAGTAAAATGGCTTTAATGTGATAATTTTTCTACTAAATCTTAAGATTTTATAAATAATAAACAAAACTTTAAAAGTCAACAGCTGAAATAATATCTTGTGCTCTTGATGATATGTATAAAATACAATTAGATGCACTGCCTTAGAAAAAAGCTTTCCACAAATAAGTGGAAGGAAACACTTAGAATATGGTAGAGCAATGTACCTATCAAATTCCAGCTCTGGTGATGTAAAAGGAGAAATACTGGCCATAAAAGAAATGATAAAACTAACATGGGTGAATGGCCAGGGGCCTGTTCATCGGTACTGTGCACCATTTGCTTAGTGCTATTTTTTTTTTTTTTACATGAGAAGTACTTTACATGCCAGGAGAATGACTTTTGCCCTAAGACTGGGCATCTAGTTAAGTTTTGAGGAAATAAAATAAAAACTCCCCCACCCCAGAACTCTTCCACTCTTTTAAGTTGAATGTAAAACATGTATTAAATTTTCAATGGAGAGAACAAATCTTAGTATAATGAGTAGCTAAGAGATGTAAACTCTGAATTTGTAACAGTAGAAAGTAAATTTCTGGTTCTTTAAGAGATTTAAATGCCAAATAAACAATTCTCCCACTGCTGAGAACCTGAAATATCAGTGGATAACCAGAATGAATTTAGAGTTTCTGGATTCCTTCCCATTAAGTCACTATTTTGTTCTCAGTTTCCTTATGCATAAGACCTTTCATTTTGACATCAATTGAGCTCTAATCATGGTCATCTTTTTTTTAGGATATTGCTAGCAGCTATAAAATTCTCTTAAATATATGATGCCTCCAAGAAGTAGGAATTTATTTCACACTTATCTAAAAGAAGGAAGTTTTCTATAGAAACTCTCTCTGCAACTTTTCTCTAAATATAAAACTATTACAAATAAAAAGTTTACTGATGAAAACAAAATGATCTTTTTGCATCTGGGCTTGGATTTCTCAATTTGAAGATTCAGAACCCAAACTCATTCCTCTTATATATTCATCATTTCATAGAGACTAGTTCATTATTTCCTCTTAGTCAGTATATGAATAAAGAGGGAATGGAAGGGAAGCACTCACTGGATAATAGCTCTAGTATTATTGCTTCATTGTTTCTGCTCATATTCCATTGGTCTGACCTAGTCATATGTCCACTCCAGTGGTAAGGTAGTCTGAGAAAGGTGGTCAAAGTATGTGCCTCAGAGTCAGAATACAAAATATTTCTTCCCCTTCAAACATTTGCCACTTTGCACACATCTTTCAACACTTAGCTATACATCATTCACCTCTCTAAAGAGACATCCAAAAATCTCATCCAACTGATGCATCAAGCTCTATTTCCATAATCTCCAGTAAGAAATAACTCTTTCCATAAGGTTCAGGTCTTTTTTGAGGGATTTAGAACTTCAAAAAAAGTTCTCTGTTCCACTTTAGCCACGACTTTCTGTATGCAACGATGGAGCAATAACTTGATAACTGAAATAGATATGCCAAAACCCCTCTTTCTAGTAAAAAAGCAAAATGGTAAACATCCATCAATTATTGGACCAAATCAATAATTAGATCCTTAGTGGCATGATTTTGAAACTCCTACACTGGCCTTAATGATAGATTTGGTTCTCCTTTCTAGGAGAATTCCCTAAATATTTTGTTCTCTAGGGTTTCTGGCCCTTCTTTTTACAGGTTATTCCTTCTGTATTATCTCCCATGGACCATATATGGAGTGGACATTGGGGAAAACGATCTCTTTGGTTGTATACTTCCTTTATAATCCAATTTTTGTGGAGCAGATATGGGGTTCCAGGATTGTATAGTCATGGAATTTTTTTAGGCGAGGCTGCTGGTTTCTTTGGTAATATGATTCCCTTAAAATATTCATAGACATTGACCTAATTCCTTCAGTTACATGTGCCAGTAACCAGAGCAAAGACAGCCAAGTCCTTTTCTACATCAGGTACTTAGTCATTTTTTATTCTAACTTCTCTCTCACCACTCTCTTTCCCCCCGCCCCCCTGGCTTTCCCTCCTATCTTCTATTCTTCCTCACTTCCTCCTCCTTCCCTATTTTCTTTTGTTCATGTAGAATATGAATAGTACTATTACTGAGAGTCTTTAAGTTATCAAAGAGATATAATCATAAGTTCCTTCTTTTCCTTTTCCTGTTTATAATAGAATTTGTCTATGATATCTCTTTAGGGGAAAGAACAAAAAGGCTAAGTTTTACTTATTCCATGAGTACTTATCATGTGATTTTGTTTTTAATTACATCTCAGTAACATAGGAAAAATTTTACTACCATTGATTCTGAAAAAGCTGAGGTCATATCATGAAGACAAAATGTTTCAGTATGAAATATTTTGTTCCACTTATTATTGCTGCATTTTTAAACAACCTAAAACACAGAGGTGTAAAACAATTTATTATGTTAAACACTTACTTTATAATGTTCTATTTATGTCAGTAAAATACTTTAGATATACAGCTGTTGGAACAGCTTATTTCTATCCTATGATGTTTGAGGGCTCTCCTGGGACACTTGAAGGCTGAGGTGTCTCCATGGCTGGGTGCTAAGATCATCAGGAAGTCTTCATACTCATAGGATTGGAGAAAGATGGTGGTTGCTGTGACCTATGAAGTCCTATGAAGCCTCTCCTTATGGTCATTCTGTGGGGAGTGATTTGCATTTCCTCACAATATGGCAACCATTTTACAAGATGAGAGTTTCAAGTGGGGAGTGCATAATGTTCTAACCTTTGAATTGTAGTGGTACTTCTATCATATTTTTTGGCGTAAAGCTATAGCCAGTTTCAAAATGAGAGATCATAGATCTCGCTACTTGATGAAAGGTGTGTTAAGGTTAAACAGTTAAAAGACTATATGGGATACAAGATGTTGTGGCTGCTAGCTATGTTCAAATACAAACTTTATTCAAATCAATTGACATCTAAAATACTTCTGATTTTATAAGTATTACATTCACCTTCTTGAATGAATCTGAATATGCTTATTTTCATGAGCATACTTACTGAATTATGAACTTTTAAATCATTTATAGCTTTTTAAAGAAAATAATGTAATGGTATCAAATGCCAATATATTTGCAGATATCCCGACACAGAAGGAACCATTCACAGCATGTCTTGAAAGAAGTAATTCCTCCACTGGAACAACTGGTGAGTGATGAATTTACTACGCTAATGTATGCTTTGATGTACTGCTACAAAATAAATTATCACTAAGCTCAGCAACTTAAAACAGCATGTGTTATTATCTCATGTTCTGTGGTTCAGGAATCTGGGCATGTCTTACCAGTACCCTCTAGCTCAGAGATACTCAAAGGTGGCAATCAAGATGGCAGCTGGAACAAGGATCACATCTGAACTTCTTCCTGGGAGGCATCTGCTTTCAAGCTCACTTACATGGTGTTGGCAGGATAGGCCTGCTGTCCAGAGGCTGCTATACCACTGTCTTAGTCCATTCAAGCTGCAATGGCAAAGTACCACAGACTCAGTGGTGTATAAACAACAGAGATATATTTCATATGGTTCTGGAATCTGAAAGCCCTAGATCAGTGTACCAGCATGGTCAGGTTCCTAATTTAAGACTATAGAGTTCTCACTATACCCTCACGTGGTAGAGAGTGAGAGCTCTCCAAGTTGACTTTTGTAAAATCACTAATCCCATTCATGAAGGCTTCCTACTCATAAACTAACTCCCAAAGTTGCCACCTCCAATACATTCATATTGGAGTTTAAGATTTTAACATATGAACTTTGAGGAGGACACAAGTTTTCAGTCAATATCATTCCTTGTCTCAAAATACTCTGTGACTTCCATCACCCCAAGATAAAAGTTGAAAAACACCCAGTAGTTCACATATTTTATAAGTCCCACAATCTCTCTGTCCTTACCTCTCCCCCTCTTCTCTCTGGCTTATTTTCCTCCAACCAAGCTGATAGCTTACTTCTGCAGGGCCATTCCATTTAGCTTTTCTTTTCTGTTTACAATGCAATTCATCTAGTACCCAGTAATTTGTAAGTCTCATTTTTCATTTACTTCACATCTCTGTTCTAATATTACCTTTTAAAAATAGGTCTGCCATAATCTACTTTAAATAAACACACAAATAAATACATGACATTTTCATCCACAGTTCTTCTTTCTTATCCTTTTAAATGTTCTCTGTAGACTTTACCCATTTGGCATACTATACAATTTTAGATGTCAATCCATTAACTAACAAAGAATGTTAGTTCTTTGAGAGCAGAAGTTTTGTCTCCTATGTTCATTATTCTGTTCCTGTTATTCTAAAGGTTGCTAGAATATTAAAATTAGCAATCATTATTAATTTAGTGATTGCAATAAATGACTTCTAGAATAATGGGAAAAAGGCCATAAATATGTATTGAATGAGTTCATGAATTAAAAGTTAATGACTTTTGGTTTTACTTGCAAGTTTATAATATACAGATATATACTTGGATATTTTCTCTTTTTATTTTATCTTATATTGCTGAGCACTACCTTGACATTTGTTTCAAGACTCTTTCCCAGTGTTGTAACAGAAGTGAGATTTCCCAATGGGAACCCATCAGCAGAACCTTCCAGAGTTCCCCTTTCCATCAAGTCCATCTTTATTAGCAGCAAATATTTATTGATGCCTAAAACACGTTTTCTTTGGATTCTTCATTTTCCCTATGACCCTTCACATATGTCACCATTTTCTGAAGCAGTTCAGCCCCTATATTTCTGGATTTCCTATGTTTATACTGTGCACATACACACACACCCTCATGAGGCCTTCCAGTGTTTCTGATCTTACCACACTTCATCATGCTACTCCACTGATCACAGGTAGTGATTCCAGACTAACCTTCCCTCAATACTATCATAATTACTTCATTTTCCTTGTTACAACTCTCAAATGAAAGCTTTCATTCTTCTTTGGTATTAAGTCTATAGACTTCTCTCATAGTTTCTGATTCATATTATTATATACTTCCAAATAATACCCTCATGCCAGGAATAATGTGATTAAGGCATGGCTCTTACCTGAGAGAACTGGAATTTTCTGTAGAAATTATCTTTCTTTCATCTCAGCACATGCTCATATACAAATTTGTGTTGTTCACAACATACTTGTTCCATTTCAAGACTGGACTGCAAATGCCTTGTAGTTAAAGGCCATGACTTGTATTTTCTTTATTATATTGTTCTTTCACTTCTATTGCTTTGGCACTAGTGTGAAACACATATTAGTCAATTAATGTAACAGAAAGATATTAAAGGTTTATTAAAATAATGTTGACCTCAGATGTTCATAGATATGTTCCTAATAGTAAAGCTATAATTTTTAAGCCCTTATTCTGTAATTGCTCTAAATCTTTTTATATGCATATATGTATATTTCTCTCTCTCTCTCTCTCTCTCTCTCTCTCTCTCCCTCTCTCTCTCTCTCTCTCTCACACACACACACACACACATTAGTTCTATAAACTTTTGAAATTACTAATCAGTTTATGTCATAGTCCTGACTTGGGTTTCCCTAGATTCTCTGAGTAATAATTTATCTTACTGTGTCTTTTAAACAACAGTAATATTCAACTTTTATCCATCCACATCTACTTAAATTGCATGTCTGTATCAATGTTATTTTTAAGGTAGAAATGTCATCTTTACTACAAACTCCTATTGATGAATTTTCCATTGTGGGTGCAATGCCAATTAACCATCAACCCCTCCCCACAAGGAAAAAAAAAAAAAACAAATCTGATTAATTTTGAACTCTACATTGCCATTTACTAAGACTTGAATTGTTTCCAAGAACCCATAAAATCTTTTGTACATCTAATATAACCTTATATTCCTTTTCCCCATAACCTTATATTCCTTTATTCTTGCTTTAGTTTCTCTTGGCAATACCTACCAGGAGGAATTTTCATATGGCATAATATACATACAGATCCTTTAGAAAACTTAATAAATGCTTTTAAATTGGTGTGATTATTTATTATTTTTATCATATGAATCCTCAAGCTTATTTATTTCTAAAATGTGCTACATTACAAATCTTACTTCCTTTATCTCATATCCAGAGAACTCTCCAGAACATTTTCCAGGACTCATAAGAGACTTTGGCTTTAGGTATAACTTGGAAACATCCCATTAGATCCACCCCCTTTGGAGGAAAAAGATGCACTTTAAAATGAAATCTTTCATGTGGATGCTCCAATATGAAAGATTGGGAGGGGTGCTTCATCTCTTATTTAAAGTTCTCTTTAATAAAGTTGATTGTGTCCAGGGTTAACAACAACAACAACAAAAAAAAAAAAACAATGCATTTCTTTCAAGTAATATCCAGGAAACTTCGCTAATTGGAGTCTAAAAATCTCATGATGGACACTACCCAGTTTGCTGGCAGGTGATGTCATTTATGCCACATGGTATGCAAACCCACAGGCTTTCAGTGGAAGATTAAAATAATTTACTGAGAAGCAGTGTGATTGCTTAAGAAATGTTTAGAATGCAGCATCAACTTTAAACATGAAACATTAAATATACTAATGGATTTATTTCTTGATCTTATATATACTATAATACAACTGTTCATGAAACCCAATTATTTTCAGAGTAATTTCCCTCTCCCTAAAGAGTTATTCAGGGAACATAACCCTGTTTATAGCATGTTAAACCTTTATCTTATTTATTTTTATCAAAAGAAATAAGACATGTCTATGGATAACCCTGCAGGAGTCAAAAGCCTGTGGCAGGTTTCTGAGAATCATCTGCTTCCTCCTGAGCTAGGAGGATTTTGAGGACAGAGCTCAGGAAGTTGCCATGGCTTGGGGGCAAAGCAGGCTTTTGCAGATAAACCTTAAGTCACAGATTCTACCTTTTAGAGCCAGATACCATTTTGTGGATTAATTAATACTTGTGAAGGCTTTGAGGATGAAAGATGTTGTGAGAATACAGTTTTCTTATTTAAAACAAAGGACAGCTTTTGGGGAGCGGGAATAATTCTACTGATCAGGCTGGGTTTTCCCTGAATAGCAAAAAAATTCCAAAAGCACTTCAACTTTTCAAAAATCTATTAAGAAAATTAGTTTTACTGAGATATCTTCTCCCATATTCAAGCTGTTAATAATATATTATGTAATTGAATAATTCTATTAGAAATCATTTTCAGGATTTCACAGTTTCATATTCCCTCCCTTTTCACAAGCACAAGTGTGTTTATTAATTCAAATATTTGTTTAAGCCACTCCAGTGTTAGGAAGTGTTCTGGGCTTACACTATGCAATGAGAGGCTAACTACTGATGTCCTTTCTTGAAGATCTTTCACTGCAGAGATGTACAGATGTATTAAGAAAGTAAAGGAAGGCATCATTCTATTCCTGCAAATTATGAAATGTGTTGTCATTAGAGAAAAACAAGTTTCTGTGAGAGAGGAAGAACCTACCTTGGATTAAGTAGTCATAAAATCAGGCTTTGAAAAGGGCATTTCAATTGTCAGGATGAGTGTAGTTTATCAAGCAAATAATTGGAAGAAAAACCATACAAGCACCAGGAACAGCAAGCACAAGGGTTTGGAGGTAGGAACAAAGTTTCTATATTTGGAAAACTGCAGAATTCTATGCTGGCTAGAACATGAGGAACAAAAGCAACAGGGCAGGGGGTGTGGAGAGAGGAGGCCAGTGCCCAGATGCTGAGGGCCTTGAGGTGATAGTAAGATGTTCTGAAGCCATGGAAACCCAGGCACTAGTTAACATGCTTCTCTCATCCAAGCTCACATTTGCAACTCATTTAGCTCCAAAGCAGAGAAGAAGTACACACACCACCACAGCAACAGACTATTAACATTGAGCAATTCTTTCTTTCTTCCCTGCTGCCCTGACTGAAATTAGGTTATTACACAACAATTGGATTATACCAATACATTGCCTAGACAGTAACCAGGAAAGCCATTCTTACAGAACTCCAAGGAGAGGCAAGGAATAAGGGGCATGTTAAATCAAAGCCACACACACGCGTGCGCACACACACACAAACACACAAATAGAATTCCCAAAAGAAGAATAAAGAAATTGAGGGTGAGGAAGGAGAAATGAAATACAAGGAAGGCTTCCAGAAAACTGAAGAAAGTTCTTCAGATACAAAGAAGTGCCCTGACCAG